GTCACCCTAGAAAATATTGAAGTTCAGATCTGTTGTGTGCTTGGTCATGCGGTAACCAGACCCCATACACATAAGGTGGAAGTATGTCTTGGTGGCTTTATATTTTGGAATTCCTTGACAATGGTTATACATTGTCTTGTAATGCATTGTTACAGAATCATTAATGTGTTTTATTAAAGCGTCGAGTCGCCATGCAGCACAAGTTGAAATTTGATATAGATTAACAATGTAATTTATTGAATACGTCCAAGAAGGCGCGACGCGCTGGATGTAACGTTTTTCAACTTGAAAGTCGTTGTACAGTGTATCACATTCACCTTGTCATAACAATGTTAATAAATGCAATAATGCGGACTTTCCATACCACGTATACATTATTAATATGTACTTTATTGTTAGCGAACTACCTGGAAACATCTACACCGATAGGTATGCTGGGATGCATTTTGATCAAACAGGTACGTTTGATGGCGCATGTGTTTACTTGTATTCCGCTGATATGGCGACCGTGTGTACAGAAATAAATAAAGACTGACTGTATTATAGTATGTAATAATATATAAAATATGTTTTATAATACTGCGATATAAATTTAATTTTTTGCTTTAATTTTAAATCAGCAGGGAAAGCAGACTATATGTCCCCCGGGGTAGAAATTCCTGCGTATTTGGATTTGATAGCTGACGAGGAATCACGCGAAACATCAGGTAATGCATGGTGTTTGTTTTCCCATCGATGTCTATTAGTGCAATAGTTTCTTAAACTCGCAAATATGAATATATTTTGCGTGTACATATCAAATTCAATGTAGATATGAATAGTAATAATGTCTACTACCTTACACTTATCATCACAGAATACATTCAATTATGCAACTGAAATGAGCATTAACGCAATTGTTTGTTTTTGTTGTTGAAATTAGATGGTACTAGAGACAATGATGGTTACCTATTGCCGACCAATCATGATCCTAGTTATTTGGATTTTTCAACAGATGACGTAATCCAACAGCCAGTATTAGGTCAGTATTATGTTTTTTACTGTAAATATAATTACGTTCACACACATAACACTTAGTAAGAGATTATGCGCCATATTGACTAAAGGGAACAACTCGAAATGACGCTTAAATCTAAATTGAAAAAATGAAAAAGCATTACAAACATTACAAACAACTCGATGCATGTGTAGATTTGTTAGTAGCGCTTATTTATTTGTGCAAAAATACAGCATACAGATTTACTTAAAACACCAGTATGAATATTATTTGGAATGTGCAATTTAGGCAAGAATTGGTCACATAGTGGGATAAACAGAACCAGAATAAAATGATGAATATCTAGTATGAGAACGTGCTTCCTCAATCTGTCCCATTCCACGTGGTAATCAAAACTATCACCAACTGTTTTAGATCCAATTCTTGAAGTCGATGATTACCTCGTACCAGTGGCCGATAACTGCGATGACAACTTATATCTAGAACTAGTGGACGACAGTAGTAAGTACATTCTCAATAAGCGCATATTTATCATATATATTTTTCTATTTGACGTTTGTGTACCTGTACCTGTACGTTTGTGTACACGAACATATCATTTAACTTTTAACTTTTTAATTTGATCTGGCAAATATATTTGTAAACATATTTGCACATAAATACGTACGCAAAACAAAACAAAACAAAACAAAACAAAACAAAACAAAACAAAACAAAACAAAACAAAAAACAAAACAAGTGTCAATAAACAAGCTGCTTTCTGATTAGCCTTTATGTTCGGATGGGTCGCCAACTAGGCACAGTCTTAGTTGTGCATTGACATTACATTAATAATACCAGCATGTGTACAAGTGATCATGCAGGTGTTTTCTTTTTTCAGAACCAAGTCTTGATGACGACGACTACATGTCACCAAGAGATGAGGAAGACACTCCGTCATATTTGGAACTGTTCGGCGATAACACTGCTAGGGGTGAGCATTATTCAATAAATAAGCTACATTACAAATCACAAATATTAATATCAGTCGATTTACAATAATAAATTATTCAATTATTTTCCACGAACGCAGATGAGCATTGAAAGTAGCATTGTAATTGCATGTTTCGGCAAAGCACATCGTACGCTAAGTCATTCTCCTTCTCAGAGACTATGGGTCTTTTATCTCTAAGCTAGGTAGTCGCCAGCTGCAGACCACGTCCCACTAGTTGATGCTCTCTGTGGCTCCCTAGTCAGTCATAAGCTCGAAGACTCTGCAAGGGAGAATGACGCTTAGTATAAATTGACTTCATTATTCAGAGGTCTTAATGAAAACGCTGCGATTGATCGCACCTCAATAGAGACACATTGACGTGCAATGGCTATGTATTTATATATTTTATTTACAGATGAATTGGATGACAGCAACAGATCTGATTGCAGTTATCAAATGCTCCCCGAGTCCACTGACAATGAAGCCATTTCCTACATGTAGAATGAACATATGTTTTCAGTATTATTGACGGATGGTAATATTCTGGATGGAAACGGAGGAAGTGTTTACTAGTATTCGCAATTTATAATAGTCACGAGTTTTTTTATACTAGCTACTATTATTTTTCTTACGTATTTCTTATACCATATGTACTATTAGTTTATATTGACTGTAATTATTCATTGACCTTATTTGTTGCACTAACTATATAATCGAGATACAGAGTATTTCATTGGTACTACCATTCTATATGATTACTATTGAAGAAATTAGTTTATATCCAGAATTTACGTACCATAGTTCGCTGCACGTTTGTAGTACAAACTATATAATCGAGATACAGAGTATTTCATTGGTACTACCATTCTATATGACTACTATTGAAGAAATTTGTTTATACCCAGAATTTAGTACCATAGTTCGCTGCACGTTTGTAGTACTAACTATATAATCAAAACTAAAACGTAATCATTACTTTATACTGACTACAACTAACTATATAATCAAAGACAAACGTATCAATGTGCACTTGGCTTTTTTATTCACTGTTTTTGTAGAACTAACCATAGTATCAAGAAAGTGGATACCTTTGTCTACTATCTTCATTTGGAAAACTAGCTATAAATTAACGGGAGGATATCACTAACTGAAACATATCCATATAATCAATGCAGAACAAATCCTTTGCACTATATTCTTTACTGAGTGCATGTGTGGAACTAACGGTATTCAAAGCAATACCTTTTTAGAAATAAGTTCGTACTGACTGCATTAATTTTGCTGAAGTAACTATGTTAGCAAAAAATAACATACCCTTCATATCACTTGATATTCACTGCATTTGGAGAACGAAATATATTATAAATACAGTATGTTTCTATATGAACATAAAAAATTTGTAAAGCTAACTAGAATCAAGGCAGTATGGTCCACCGGGTAAGCTCAGTTTATATTGCTTGTATTTGTAGAACTTTTAGATTTATATAGTTGTTCAAGAGAAAAACGTAAGCAAATTCATTGTCAGTTATCAATGATGATTATAATTCTCATCTAATTTATATATTGTAAAACTGTGGATGATACAAAGTTGAAATTTAAATTG